AATTATCTTTGCATTAATAAACTTAAGTAGTACTTAAAGATTTTAAGCTAAGACATATTCAGATCAGGAAGAGCAATCAAATTATGTCTAAATGTAAAGCATATCCATGGACAATATTACATGAATATGTTGAATATACATTATAGCCAGAAGACTCCATCCAAAGTCACAAAAGAAATACAACTAATGATAAATCTATTCCAAGATTTACTTCTAGGGACAGAACCTGCTCCCTTGAGATATTTTTATACATTAAAAAAGAATCTCAGATCCAAGAAATTTGGTCATGATTTTTGTTGAGGTTATAAACTGGTGGGGGAGGGGGGGACAGACTTTCATCTTGAGTCATTTCATTTTTTCTGCCTTAAAAGCAGGCAATTGATAAAGTTTTAATCAGTCATAATTCTTTAAGAGTAAAAATATCTTATTTAAACATGTAATGTGTAGATGAGCCTGTTGCATGTTTATGGGTGCATTTATTTTTAATTTTATTTGAAAGGAAACTCAGACAAATTGAGACCTAGTCACTTCTAGCTCCAATAAAATGTTTAATTATTTCAAATGAGTAATCACCTACTGATGTAATGAAAAGGACCAAGAAAACAGATGGTATATTTCCTATTCTTTACCCTCATTTTAAAAAGTGACTGGAGTTGACACTCAGAAGTCATCTTGGATTGCAGAGCCTATAACAGTGGACACAATTTCTTTAAAAAAAAGTTATGACAGTGAATTTTGTATTTTTATTAAAAATTCAATTTTAGCCTTAATGGTAACCATTGCATTGCTTAAAAGGTATATCCAGTCTCATGGTTTAAAAAAGCTGTATAGGATATAGTCTCTACCTTTGTATATTCTTGGGGGAGGCAAAATTAATTTACATGACAGGATTAAAGAATATTCTAGTACTGAATTAAAAGGCATGGGATTAATTAGAATACTTGGGACCATCATATATTTAACAAGGGGCAGCTCCTTAGAGGTTGGGAATGTTTTAGAGATATATTATCTATTTATTTCAGACACATACTGTGAACTCCTTTCCCCCAGACTTTTAAAAACCTTTAGCTCAGAGAGCCTTATGTTCAAAAGAAGGAAGGAAATATGAGTGAAGATTTTCCTTCTACTTTGAAACAAGAAGATATCAGAAGTTTAAAAATTACTTATTGTTATAAATTGTTTTGCAACCATTTTCTCAACTGACTGTCCTGTTAAAACGCTTTGTGAATGCTTGATGTACCCATGAGGAAAGAGAGGAAGGTGACAGAAGCACCGCTCATGTTACAGATGCTGCCTGACAACACTGCCATCCTTTCACATGGTTTTATTTAGTTATTACAACTCCCTCTCTGTAAATGACATTTAGGATTATTTAAGATTATGTTGTAATCCTTTTAATCCTCAGTGCTTTAAATTTCAGGCTAAACACCAAAGAGCAAACTAGCACTTAGCAGGAATGTTTAAAACATGTGATTTGAACATAAATCTTTTTATTCATTCTCTCCCTGATGAAGACCTAGTGTTGCTCTTAAGTTAACTAAGAAAACTTGTACCACAGTTCATTTCAAATCATTCGGTTGCTAAATGCTTTCTCAAGCTACATCAGACTTGTGACAGTCCTTGACAATTTTGCTAAACGAAGAATTGAACAAAAGTTAGCAGCAATGAACATTTACTACTTTAGTTTAGAATATGTATGACCTTTTTTTTTAAATAAGTGCAATACGTTTTTCAGTGTTATTGTGTGGGAAGAACAAGTGTATGGGAAGAATCACACTATTTCCTAATGTCAAGCTATTAGATGTGGATTTACACATTGACATATACATCATATATGCATATGTCTACATATAATTATACTTTTTAAACACATTATGATATGTCTAGGTATGCTTTATAATAGAAGCTGTTAATAATTTTAAAAATATGTTATTTATTATTAAGGTCAATTATGAAAAACTGTTCTATTATAAAATACGCAGATGTTCTTCAACTCAGCCAGTGAGCATCATTCTGATTTACTAAGAGTAGCTGAATACAAAATCTAATTAATTAATGCTATCACAGTTATGCTATCATGTACCAGTCAAATAAGAATGAATCTATACCAAGAGTTTTTAATAAGACTATGAAAAAAATCTGACTTTTAATACAAAGAAGGAAATGAACAACTCAAATGTCCAAATGACATATATGAAGGAAACAGATGAAATCCATCCTTTCTTTGTGTCACAAATATTTGCTTTTGAGTCTTTCAAGCATATCTCAGGCATGTAATTTTTTGTTTGCTTTCCTCTTCATTTTAAGTTCATCTTCTCTAGAGACATCGTAATTATGTGGCATATAATTGCTAATCCATCAACTTTTTCACGACAGATTTCAAATTTTAAATTATTTCTAATTTTGCTCTTCTTTGATTTTTCTTGAACCAAAAATCTCAATAGTCATTAGCTATCTGTAATCTATAATTCATAGACTGAGATTGAACACCATGCCTAATTCAAACTTGGAATTCTAAAGCTATTTCTGATGTAGCACATCAGCTAAAGCTGTGATGGTCTTTTTCAGTCAGGGAGAAATGCTTCATTATTTTGTAGGTAATGAAACCGTTGTACACACACACTCACATACTCAACAATACCTTAGTACCATGTTTTTGAGATATAATCATGTTTATTCTGATCATTTGAGAGTTATACCAGCTAATGTACCTAATCAAATATTGATGCAAGTCATCTAGATTTAGCTCTCTGGCAAATCCTTTCTGATGTTTTTTCATTAACAACTATAAAAGCTATTTATATTGTTCCTCTCAAAAGACTTACTTTCATGGGTTGCCACTATGGATAGGAATTAGTAAATTTTACCTAAGCTTATGTGTTTAGGTGATGAAAAGATTTCAGCATGACAAGAAAACCACATGATTCACCCTAAAAAGAATGAAGCAGGAAATGAAATCTTAATCTTTCTTTAGTATTATTATTCACAACATCCTTATCATCACCTCTTGTTTTTCTAAACTAAAGGGTACAAGACAAAAACTGGTAACCTAGATTAAGAAAACTGAAGTCCCATGAGCTACTCAGGTACCTTACAAACAAAACTAGCTAGTAAGATTTTCACCTCTAGAAAACTAATAAAATGAGAATAGTTTTAATATTTCTGGGAGTATCTACATTCAGAAATATGAAAAATGAGTAAAATATTATAACAGAGGTAGCTAGTCACACTCAGAAAAAGTTAGGATGATGCATATTGTCAATATAGGTGGTTTAAATATATATCTATACATATTACATTCATAGCTGTGTAAAATTATACTTGAATATTTTTCTTCTATATTCACAGCCTGTACACATCATTCATATTTGATTATTATCCTCATTTGTGAGCTAATATAACTCTTTATAAGGTTAACAGAAGAAACTGAAAAAGTCTTCCTTAATTCAACTCTGAGAGTTTGTTTCTATTATCCAAGAATTATGTCCATATCAAATTTTAACATCTTTATTTTACAACATTGGTAATTAGGATGCTAAACTAACAACACATAATAAAACTAAACCCCTTAATTCACCTTATCCAGTTCAGAACTAGCCATACTAATTATCTAGGTTGTCATAGAGGCTAGGATTATAACACCAAATTTTCTTATTTATAACAGAATTAAAAAAGCAAGAAATTGGGAGACAGAATATACCACTGATCTACAATTCCTCACTTTAAAGCACAATTTAATTTTACTTCTTGATTCTGTAAGTTCACCTTCTAATCATTTTTGGTTTTAATCCTTTGATTTCTTGCAAATATATTTAGTTTTCTATACTTTATTCCTTTTTTTTCCCTTTCTTTTCTTTTTTCGTTCTTCCTCTTCTTTGGGTTAAACCAAAAACAAAAGCAAAAACTCTACCCTATAAAAATGAATGCCTAAACAGAATTCAACTATAATCAGAAAAAATAAGTTATTCCATAATATTTTGAAAGTGCTCTTTTTGTTTTTTTTTTTGTTTTTTTTAATTACTATGAGTAAATTATTTGGTTAAACCTCATTAAGCATCTGAAAAATGCAAAAACAAACTGAAAATCAGGTTCTTCTTCCCAATGAGAGATCAGATAAAAAATGCTACCTACCTTTTCTTCTATAAGACTCTATACATTAATTTCAGTGATGCATTTAAGAATAGAGTTGATTTTTCTTTAAGGGCTAAAATGGTCTCAGAATACACTTAATACAATAATTATAATGATCTAGTTCTTACTAAATGATATAAATTCTAAAACAAACCTATAAAGTTCTGGGTTACTTTGGAGATCTAAAAGTAAATTAAATGTCATATAAATATAGAAAAAAGATCAACTTCTGTAATCTGAAGTTATTAATTGCCAAAGGGATTTTAGTAACATCATACATGAAATATTGTTTTCCCATTTCCTTTCTTTGAAGGATTTCATCTGGTTCTTTCCATTCAAAGCAGCATGATTGAAATTATCAATCAGATATTTTTTCAAAAAAACAAATTATATAATATGAAAACACTGATTTACATAACTGTTCAGCTCTCTCCATCCCCCAAGTTACACTGGTAGATATAATTTATGATTGGAAGGCAGGAATGGCAGTGAATGCAAATAGTTTATCATAATTAGTGAATCTTAGTTTGTTTATATCTGAAAATCCTACACTAAATCTATGTAAACCAAGCATTCTAGGTTTGAATCCCAAACAGCTATCAAATACACTGTAAAAGTCAATGACTTCTGGTTATGTAATTAACCACCACACAATAAACATTTTGTGTTTAGATAGCAACCAGTCACCAGAGAAAAGCAACAAACAACCAAAATTTGACAAGGAAGAGAAGCCAGTTTTTCACAATGACCTCTGCACAACTAGCTCAAGCTCATGAAAACATCTTAACAAGGTAGTCTTGTTTTGATTACCCAAGAGAGCTAAGATTTAGAAAGAATAGGAACAATTTGAATCTATGTAACATTCTTACCTGAAAGACATTCTTTCTGCTTGATTTTTCCTTGGCCCACTCAATATGTGCCCCACACAAATCCACACTTTCTGGTTTGTTCCCAGTTTTCTGTAAACAAAAATGCAATAAGAAGAAAAGCACACAACACTGGTGATGCATGTCAGAAAAAATAAGTTATTGATTTAATAACTATATATTAATGGCATAAAGGCTTTCTTCTTTCTCTTTTCCAGTTTCAAATAGATATTCTCACACTCTTGTTCACTGCAGCACTATTTACAATAGCCAAGACATGGAAATGACGTGTCTGTCAACCTATCAATGGATAAATGTATAAAGAAAATTTTTACATATACATACACACATATATATAAAATATTGTTGCTTTCTTGTTTAGTAGCTAAGTTATATCTGACTTGTGATCCCGTGGACTGTAGCCTACCAGGCTCCTCTGTCTATGTGATTTCCCAGGCAAGAATACTGGAGTGGGTTGCCATTTCCTTCTCCAGAGGACCTTCCTCACCCAGAGGTCAAACTCATGTTTGGCAGGTGGATTCATTACCACTGAGACACCAGGAAAGCCCATATATAATGTATAAATATATGTGTGTGTATATATATGTGTGTATATATATATATATATGTTAATCAGGTAGGGTAAGACAAGTTCTTCTTGATCTCAGATACACGCAGAGTCTGAAAGTCTAACTCATGGAAACAGGGTTGTTACCATGCACTGAGGTAATGGGAATAAATTTGTTAAAGTGTACAAATTTTCAGTTTTAAGATGAATAAGTTCTGGGGGTCGAATATACAGCATGGTGACTATAGCTAACACTGTAAATTACTAAGAGAGTAGATCTTACCATTTATAACCACATAAATACACACACAGAAACTTAACTATGTGAGCTGATGAATATTTTTAGTTGCTAATCTTAGTGTGGCAATAATTTCACAATGTACATGTGTATCAAACCATCACATGATACACCTTAAACTTACACAATATTCTTTGTCAATTATACCTCAAGAAAGCTGAAAAAAAGGGAAAAATCATAAATTTAAAAGATCAATTGTATGGCTTTTAAGAATTCACTTTTCTGGCTTTTAAGACTATACACATAAGTGTAATATATATATTTACATATTTGTATTTAGTCAATTTAGATCAGATAGATTATGGCATGTGCTTCCTTTTATACAGTACAATGTGGGTGTTACTTAAATGCTGTTTTTACTTCAATAATTCATAATAATCAATTAATGGGAAAGTCCTCTATATTTGTCTCTTCATATTTTCGTTTGGTTCAAGTGCATCATATGTACATAACTTTCAATCTGCATAACTCTGAACATTAAAATAAAAACTTACCTGTTTGGAAAATTTCTTTACTATTTTTAAAGAAAGTTATTTAAAGCCACATTTCAAAGATTCCAACTATTTTTATATGTTCTGAGCTACTCTAGGTTTTCCTAGAGATTAAGTTCCATTTTCTCAAGCCATTTTCAATAGAATACTTTAAGTTTTTAGTATACAAAGTTTATAATATTTTTAGAAAATTTTTAACAGTATGAACTTAAGGTTAAAGCATAAAATTATGAAAAAAAAATAGTAAAAAATGTTATAAGAAATCTATCCACAATTTTTCCTCTTACCCACTATGTTCTATCAGTTTACAGTAAATAAATTATTTTTCAGAAGAATCCAGAAATGAGGAGGTTTTTAATAGTAAATTTTGAGATTTTCTCGATTTTTGGCAACTCAATAAAAATTTTTGGAAAACACTGTACAGGCCAAGCGCAACTTTCCTCCAGGATAAATTCAGTTGGCAAAGCATCAGTTGACAGCGTATCTTTCTTTTGTTATTTGGAGGTAATTCCATGGGAAACTAATCAAGATGAGCATGGCTCAGACAGTGAAATACTTTTACTATTTTCCCATACTCCACAACTCAGGTGATCACTGCTGTGGAAAATCTTAGAGCATGATAATGATGTTTATTGTCAAGTGATTTATGACATAGAGAAATTAAGAGCAACCTGTTTCTACAGTTACTTGAATTATGGGACACTCAGAACCAACAGAAATAATCATCAATAAGCACATGTAAGAAAAAAGAGTATCTTTCCCACATAATGCAATCAGGAAAAAAAAAATGAAAAGATTTTACATAAGAAGCACTTTTTATGGGCCAAACATTTCTCTATGTGTTTTATGGCTATTAATTCTTATTGCACCTGTATGAAGTAGGTACTACTGTTATTATCATATTACAGGTAAGAAAATGTGTCAGAATGGTTTGGTAAGCTTTCCCAAGATAACACAAGTAGGAAAGGAGGAGCCAGTATTTGAATGTTAGCAGCGCCCCTGCAGTCTGTTTTTAACTACTGTGCTGTCCTTGAAAATTGAATATACAGTGTGATCATATTCATGTTAAAACATGAAACATTTAGGAAAAAGAGATGCTTTTCTCACTAGACTAGTACAGACATACTGATCTTGTTTCTGTCTTTCTCTGTTAAACGTGATCTTCCAACTGGCCTTTTACACCACCTGTTTACCTGGAATACCTCCCAATCTTTACATGGCCGACTCCTTCTCCATCAGATCCTAGCTAAATGTCACCTTGTCAGAGGTCTTTTCTCTGTCTTATATAAAATAGTGGCATTCCAATATTACTGATTACTCTTTACCTACTTATTTTAATTTCACCATAGATCTCTTCCTAGTTGAATTAATATATATATAGTTTTATATTGTCTGTTTTTCTCCCACAAGAATTTAATTCCCTGAGCTGGGAACTTGCTTGTCTTCTCCTCCACTATTTTTCCAATGTATAGAACCATGCCTGGTAACTAACTCTTGTTCAATGAATATTTCAGTTCAGTCGCTCAGTCATGTCTGACTCTTTGTGACCCCATGAACTGCAGCACGCCAGGCCGCCCTGTCCATCACCAACTCCCGGAGTCCATCCAAACTCATGTCCATTGAGTCAGTGATGCCATCTAACCATCTCATCCTCTGTCGTCCCCTTCTCCTCCTGCCTTCAATCTTTCCCAGCATCAGGGTCTTTTCCAATGAGTCAGCTCTTCGCATCAGGTGGCCAAAGTATTGGAGTT